CCCAGTCTTTATAACTGCAACGCGAGGGGGGTTGGATTAGAACATCTGGAAAGTTCTATGGCTTTATGATTAAGTCAGTTCCTTGATAAGCTAGAGTGAGAAATTGGTCCTGAGGCCCCTTCAGTTCCTCCCTGCCACTCAGAGAAGCTGCCACAGACCCTGCTGACTTCCTTCCAAATATCCATTCTTCCCTTCCTCCCTATCAACAAAACTTCAGTTTTATTCAGGGCAGCAACGGTCCCAGCCACAGAGCAATTTTCCAGCCTCACTTGCAGCTGGGCATGGCTGCATGACACAGTTCCAACCAAGAAGACGTTTTAAGTTTAAGTCCACGGACCAGCCAACACAGCAAGCTCACATTTTTGTCCCTTGCTCTTCCTGCCTGGAATTTAGTCATATGATGGGGGTAGAGCAGCCATTTGCAACTAGAGGTCAAAATATAGCAGAATGGCAAAACAGAATCGGTCAGAAGGGTCTGGGTCCCCCAGTCCCCTAGTGATCCAGCCCTGTACTGCCCACCTCAGATAATTTCTTGTTACATGACAAAAATAAAACCCCTGTCTGGTTAAGCGATAGTAAGATGGGTTTCTGTCACATACAGTAAAACGTAGTCCTAATTTGTACTAGGCTGAGGAGGAAAAACAGCCCTTCAACAAATACTGAGTACCTTCTGTGTGCCTGGCACTGCCAGAAACAAGTGAGAATGAGCAGCCCAGCCCTGCCCCTGCCCTCACAGGGCTCATAGACCAGTGGAGGAGACAAACAGCAAGTACAGAGAAGTCAATTAATGACTAATTATCAATGATCTGAAGGAAATAAATGAGGCTTTAGAAAAGAGAATAATAGAAGACTACTTCCAGGAGGTGGTCCTAGGACTAGTGAAGAAATGATATTGAAGGGAAAGAGTGAGAAGAAAGAATGTTCCAGACAAGAAAGGGCAGCACATGCAAAGGCCTCTAGCTGAGAAGGAGCTTTGGTGCTGGAGAACTGAAAGGAAGCAGGAAAGGTTGGAGCTGGTGAGTGAGGAGGCAAGAGGTATCGAAATATGGTGGAAGAGGTAGGTAGGGCTGGTCTGCTGTGCCTTGGGTGGGGTCATGCCATGTCTTGGGCAGGGTTTTGTTTTAAGTCACTGAAGGATTTTAAGAAGAATGATGCCTTTTAAGAAGACCTCTATCTGGAAAACTGTTTCAGCCTCAACTTTTGTGGGCCTGTTGGCTGCACAGAGATCTTGCCAACCTGACTCTGTTACCAGACCAGGTTCTTGGGTCTCGAAGTCATAGAAATGAACGATGCACCCAGCAGTAAAGCAGCAACCCTTTATTTAAAGAGAAGAGAGCTTATGCATAAGGGAGATAGCTACAGGGAAGCTAGCTCCCTGAGGAGAGCTGTTCAGGTCCTTCACAGGGCAAGGGGTGCAGGCAGCATCATCGTTCTTTGCCTGTAGAGGTGGTCCATTCTGTTTTTCCTGGTTGGGGCATGAGTGCATGCTCAGTCAGGGCTTTAGACCTTGTGCCTGCTCAGTAGGTCCAAGATGGTGGTACTGCTCACTACCACCACCCCAGGAGGGTCATTGTAGCAGTCACCTTGAAGCTTTGTGTACATGGAGGAGTTGGGCTAGCTGCCTGGAGGAAGTTTGTGTTTAAAAAATAAAAAGTTGTTTATCTTAGTTTCTGAAAATATCTTATCTGGGTGTTCTGAATTCTTTGAAAATAGCTTATCTGGGTGTGCTGGGTTCTTGGAAAACAGGGGTGAGGGGCTGAGTTCCCTCCCTAACCTGTCTCAACTGTGAGAACAAATTCCTCATCCCTGGTCCTGAGGGATCTTGGGCATGAGTCAGGTCTAGGTTCTGAAGGCAGATGATGGAATATCAGCCTGAAGGCCAGTCCCAGCCCTGCCACTTAGTCACTGTGTGCCCATTAGCTACCATCCCATCTGAGCCTGGGCTTCCTCATCTGACAACAACGACAGTAATAATCCTGCCTCTTAGAGCTGTGAGGAGACAGTGTGTTGAATCCCCTAACACACTTGGAACTGTGCCTGGCACATTGTAAATGCTAGAAAAGGGTTTATAATTTTTGCCACCACTGGGAAGCTCACCAGAGTCCAAATACTCTTGCCTCAAGGCCAGTGTTTCTCCAGTTTGGCATCAGAATCACCTGGGTCTCACCTCCACAGACTCTGATTCAGTAGGTTGGGGTGGCCTGAGAATTTGCATTTCCAACAGGCTCCCAAGTGATGCTGCTGCCCATGGTCTGCAGACACCGCTGCTTTAGGATGGGCCAAGGCAACCCCTCCAAAATATTTTGGAGAATGATGACTGGCCTCACACTATTGTGACTACCTTTAGCCCTCATGGACAATGACAAAGGGTGGGAGACCCAAAGTTCAAATCCACCCCCCGGAAGACTCAAATGCATTCTTTCTGGAAGGCAGGAGAGCAGAGATCAGTGGTTCTCAGTCTCTTAAGGTACCTCAGAGCTCCCTGGGCAGATGGAAAAAATGCAGACTTGAGGGGTCCACCCCCAGAGATTCTGTTTTGGTCTGGGAATGGAACCCAAATACCTTCAGGTTAAACAAGTCCCTATGGATTCTGCTGCAGGTGAGCCACATGACACACTCGGACAAATGGTGACATAGTGGCTCTGGAATTACACAAACAAAAGTTCAAATCTTTCTCAACAACTTTCTGTCTGTGGCCTTGTATGGCCTTTAAAACCTCTCCAATCTTGCTTTCCCTATCTGAAAAATGAGCTTATTAATAGCAGTGATACCCTCCCAATGAGGATGGAATAAAAATATTTGTGTAGAGGGCATTAAAGTTATAATCACAGACTCCCTTGTGCAAAGGTATTACTTGCTTTATTTATCTGTAGCTTATATTAAGTTAGCACTTGACTTTGTATTTCCACTAATGGCAGAAAACTTCAGGTTGGAAATTCTAGCTCACGCAGACCATTCCCAGCTTAGAAAAACTCCGCTTGTGGGAAACTTGAACCAGAATCAGGATTCTCTCCTTCTCTGTTGCTGGCTCTTTCCCTGGAAAGTTACCTGATGTCCTCAGCATTTCCACATGGCCAGCTGCATGCCCAGCAATGCCCATCATGCCGCCATGGCTGCGGGCTGCATGGCCTCTGGGCTTAGCCTTCTTGCCTCTACCCTAGGCCTCCTCACCTGCCAACCTTCTTGTTTCTTTGCTCAGAGCTCTCAACAGCTGCACCGCTGAGGGGTACACAGCCCACACAGCTGCCTCTGATCATCTGTCTCATCCCCTTCCTCGCTCACTTATTCATTTGCTGGTTAGGCACCATATTGGACATGGGTCTCACCTGGGGTTTTGATTATCTCCCATCCCCTCCTCCTACCAACTGGCCCAACTGTTGTCTCTTTTTGCAGATTGGATGGAAAGGGGGACCTGTTCTTACTTCACTCTACTTTCTTCCCTGTCTCTGTGTCCTCCAGGAGATGAGCCAGGGGCACCCACAATCCTTTTCTTAGACACACACACACATGCACACACATACACAGAGCTCAGTTCTTGCAAATGAAAGTCTTGCTCTCAAGACTACTGTTTCTGCCTCAGACTTACACAAACCCATTTGGCTCTTCAGTGGACGTCTTTCTCCTAAGGGTCATCTGCCTCGCCCAAGGGCAGAGCAGACAGAGCCACTCTCCCTGCTTCCCAATGGTGGGAGAAGGCAAAAGGTACAAGGAAGCCTGGAGATGGGGGAAGTCACCTCATTCATATCCCCAAATAGCGTTTGTTTAACTCTCTTAGAAAAAGTACCCACCTAGCGCATGGCCTGGCCTGTAACTGCTCAATAAATGACAACCGTGATCGTTACAGTGAGGAGGAGGAGGGGTTCTTCTCCCTAGGTATGCAGTGCTTTGCTGTGCTGGCTCTGACTGG